GCAGGCTTTATGGCAAGTCTCCTGCCACTGTGCTGTGTTCTCTTCAGGCTTTGCTTGCTCCTGCCTGCAGGTAGGCTTTTCCATGCTCGCCTTCCCCTTTTGCTCAAGTGTTAGGTTCTGGTCTGATTTGCTTTAAGACTCCTAGAAGTGTAAACATTCACAAACCTGGGAGTTCAAGCTGTAAGTTTGCAAACTCCTCAGAGTCTAATGGCATGTTTTAATTGGTTCATCAAGCTCAGAGACAGTTTTGTTGTTTTTTTTGTTTTTTTGTTTTGTTTTTTTTTTTTTTTAGTTTGAGTAGTTCTTTGAGAAACATGGGGAAAGCTTGCTTTGGCTAGCCAGCCTTCTTGAGGGCTCCCAGGTTTTTGGGGTTTCTGGTAAGCACACGTATGCATTAAACACAGTCATTCTGTTCTTATATACGCGCAGAACTTCTCGCTCAGGAACTTAGGAATTTGGATTACACTCATGTAATGAAGGGGATAAAAACTGACGGTCAGCATTGGAGAAAACTGGGTGATGGCAGAATTTGCAGGCAGAAATTCAAAACTGGGATCCTCCTGCTGTTTCTATTGACCTTTTTCCTCTTACCTTGTAATCGCTAGATCATTCGACACCAGCCAGCCAGTCTCCTCACTCCTCCAACCCCAGCAGCTTGCCAAGCTCCCCTCCAACCCACAACCACAATTCTGTTCCCTTCTCCAACTTCGGACCTATTGGGACTCCAGACAACAGAGACAGGAGAGTCGCAGACCGCTGGAAAACAGATAAGCCGGGCAAGTGCTGGGTTCCAGGCTTGGGTGAGGCCAGCCGATGGTGTTGGTTTTGCTACGTTCCTCTGAACTTGTCTTTCTCCCGTTTTAGCGATGGGAGGGTTTGGTCTGGACTATCTCCCAGCAATCATCGTCGTCTTCGGAGAGCAGCTGGCACCAGTCCAGCGCTCCCAGTGGCACCCTGGGCAGCCCAAGGCCCTCCCGCTGTGGAGGACTCCTCAGCTGTCCTTATGGAGAGCCTGAAGGTACGTCTGACTGAAACTGTGCTCAGGAGCAGGTGCTTGACTATGGGGCCAGAAGGTGTGGTGATGGGCGTTAGCCTATTGCAAACGTTCGGTGTCAGAAACCGAAGGTTTTTCCTGCAGATTCACTTACGCAGGCAATGTGGGAGGTGTGACCAGCGCCGGAAGACGTTGCAGTTTTCCAGTTCTTGCCGCCGCCCCGCAGTATTTTGCGGAGCAAGACGGGGCTGGCAGAACTGGAAGAAATGATAACGTTTGATATGACGAGTCTAAAACTAGTAATTGTTAATGTGGGATGGATTTTTATGGTAATGAGGATTCTGGAGGAGGATAAGCTTCTTCCAGGGAGCCTCCCTTTAGAAGGCCTTCTTTGAAGTCTGGATAACTTTCATGCTGAGTCGGGTAGGAGTGATAAAGAGGGAGGATATAGCAAACTGTCTCCGCCTTCTCATCTGTAAGAGGGGGGCTGCTGCCTAACGCCAGTCGGTGCTAGTGTTGGCTGTTTGTTTTTAGTCCATCTGGTCCAGTTCCATGATGCACCCTGGACCCTCAGCCCTGGAGCAGCTGTTAATGCAGCAGAAGCAGAAGCAGCAACGCGGACAAGGCACCATGAACCCGCCGCATTGAGACAGAGGTGGCAACCCTTGCAAACGAAGGCTCCATAAACCATGGCATGTTGGGTTTGCAGGACTGGCCCACACAGTCCTGTGCAGGTGGCAGCCCTCTCTTCTGTTCCTTGCTGTCAGGAGGGCGTAAGTGCTCCACCGACCCACTGAGTGTGCACAAAACGTCTGCTGCAGTGCGAGAAAACAACATCAGGAACTCTCCCATCCCTGGGCCCTCTGGAGGGGAGAGAGGAACTGCTGTTTGTCTCACTCAGTAACCCGGATATCACCGCCTCTCACCTTCTCCATCGTGCATGTCCCCAGCCACATGGGAAGTAAAAGCTGAGAATGAAGGGCAGATGGGAGAAGCCAATGAGAACTTCTCAATCCTTTTCCTCTCTTTGGGGAGATAAAATAGGAATCCATTAATGATTGCTTTTGCTGACTGAGAATGTAGTTGAAATTACTCCTAAACATCTTTATAACTATCTCAGTAGTAAGACCACACTGAATTCTTCCGTACACAGACGTGCTTCGTAGTCAGTGTGTAGCAATGAAAGCCCCAGTCGCTGCTCCGGTCAGAGGTGGTTGGTGGCAAGGTGGGGCTCTGTCTCCTGGGCTAGCGAAGGAGTTTCAGGAAGGAGAGAGTCTGGCACTTGACACCGCTTCACCTTTCACCCAAGGGCTTCGGCCAGCCCACGGGTGGGATAGAGACTCCAGCATGAAATGCCCTCCTCTCAGTAGGTGTTTGAGCTATAATCGGTGACGTGGGGCATTGCAGCACTGCTGGACGAGCAAGCTAACTGCTATGGGGTTTTAAATTAATGTTTGATTCCTGTACGTTTTACTGTAGCATAGTGGCTAGCCCCACAAAAGGGCAGGCTAGCCTGTGCATTCACAGCCTGAACTCATTTTAATAGCTAGGTAGAAAGCTTTCAGTGGTTTTTGGTTTTTGTTTTTTGTTTTTTTTTTCTTTCTCTTTCCATCCTCCCATCTTCGCTGGACGCTAGTAATTTCATTACCAACGTGCGACATCTCGTAGAAAATAATCAGGGGTCCAGCAGGGCTGGGTAAAGCCGACAGTCAGCCTGGACAAGGCGGAGTGTACGCACGGCCTGCGGGCACACGTCAGCTCTGCAGAAACCCATGTGTGTCCCCCCCACCCTCAGCTGCAGCCCCAAACTTTCAGTTCCAGAATGAAATTCAAAGCACCTGTGGACACACGTGTGTAACGCACACGTAAGGAAGCATAATGCTGTTCATAGATGAAAAGGTGCAGAAGGGAAAAGGGAAATGTTTTATTTGCTATTTATTAGGGGGAAGGAAGACTGGAAGCTTCGTTCAAGAGGAGGACAGCATTTTTAGGTTTCCCAGGGAAGTTACGGAAACAGTCTCAATGTCCATTTGCTGTGTTTAGCAGTAGGGGGTTTGCGTGATGATTCAGGATCTCTGAGCTGGCAGTCAGCTGCAGAGCGAAAGCACATGCAGGAGCCGAAGTGACACTGGAGTCCGGGCAGCCCCAAAGAACGCAAAAAGGGAAGACGGAGGAGACACGATACCCCACCCCCCAACTCCCCGGGGGTACGAGCGGCTCCCCCACGATCTCCGCCTCCGCAACATCACTGTTCTTTGTTGCATTTTTCAAGCCGTATTTCCTTTAAAAAGTCCCCAAAGTGACGTTGTCACCCCGTGGTAACGCGAACCAAACCCCCCCCGTGCTCCCCGCCAGCCCCTCCCGGTTTGCGTATGGAGCTGCGCCCCCGGGCAGCTGCGACATTCCGCCCTTCGAACCGTCACTGGCTCCTGCACCCCAGAATCGAGCTAACCAGGTTCGCCCTCTCGCTCCCGGCAGTGCCAGGGCCCCAGCCGCGCCGCTCCACGCCTGCGGGAGCGTCCGGCCTGGGGAACGCGCCCGGCCCTCGGCTGGGACTCCCCTCCCGCCCTCCGACGCCGGGGGGGAGCGAGGGAAGGGGCCCCCCACAGAAACTGGTTTGTGTCGTAAGCTTTTTTTGTGTTTTCTGTCTGTCATGTGCAAGAACTGCAGCTGCTGACATCAGCTTTGCCTTTAATTAAACCATGTTCTCTCCATCCACGTCTGTGCGCAGCATTTATCTCCTGTGTAGCTGCAGGCTTTTTAAAAGGCGTTATTTTTCTGGAGAATTCAGAAAAAGGTTTGGAGTTGATTTTTTTTTTTTTTTTTTGTTGTCTTTTGAAAGAGAACTAAATAAATCGCAGAGATTCTGGCTTGGGCTCAGTGCAGATAATTGGGTCGTGGTTTTGTGCTGCCAGCGTGCAATGCATTTTATGTACCGAACCAAAAATCTGGGATGGGAGTCATCTTCAGTCGCAGACTGAACCCCGGGGCAGGGGGAGTTGGAGGACACAGATCCTTCTGCTGCTGACCTGCCTGCGGATGGAGGTGCGGGCTGTTTGCAGCCAGTTTTTAATCAGCATGCTTCCAAACTACGGAGATGTTCCGGTTTTGAGTGTTCGTTGTATCCAGGCAACTCTTTGGGATAAGCTCCTTTAAAGATAAATGTGATATTTTGGTCATGGGGACAGTGGGCTTGTCCAGAACTTGCGTGCCAGGATCTGAAAGTGGGGAAACCGCTGCCCTTGGCGCCTTCGAAGGGAAGTGCTGCCAAGGCCCGGGGTGGCCGGCCGTGCCTGCAGCTTGCAGGGTTGGAGGGCAGGGCAGGGTAGATAATTTTAAAATGCCAGAAAGACTGGCTGTCAGCAGCTGGGGCAGGGGAAAGACTGGGAAAGTCGTGCTGGGGAGGCACAAACTGCTTGGATAAGGGAGTTTTGTTGGCTTTTCTAAAGGGGGGCAACTTCGCTGCTCTATGACCTGCTGGGATTCCAGGCAGTGTCTTTCAAAGTTACCGTCTCTTGCGACTGCTGAGAAAAAGCTTTGAGAGACAGCTCCCAAAGGTGAAAAAAAAAAAAAAAAAAAAAGTGTTTACTTTTATTGGTGCGGGGCTGGGGGGGGTTAAAGTCCCTGAGGTTTTGAAGTGGGTTGTCAGTCGGAGCAAGGCGAGGCTGCCCCGTGCCTCTTCAGCTCTTGGGGTTGGCAGTAATGTTTTGAGGAAGCAAGTGCAGCCTTTTCCTGGCCCGTAGCTTCCTGAACGCCCGTTCCTCTTCTGGATCTGCTGGCAGGGCTGTAAATGCAAGCGGCACCACCCTCGGGGCTTTTCCCAGCTGCTGGCACGTCTGTGCAAAAGCTTTGCTTAAGGATGGGGCGGGTGGGACAGAGCAAGTCTCTTGGCAAGCACAGGACTGAATGTGTTCCTAACGGGAAGACAGTCAGCAACTTACTAAAAAGTACCTGTTTCAGAGAACAATGCAACAGGTAAAATAAAAAACAACGCTTTTAATACAAGTAGCAGTAATACTTAAAGTTTATTTTCAGACGCGGTGACTAATATGGGAACTTCTTAACTGCAGCAGTTGAATTCTTAATTTCTTTCCACAGCCATGACTTTTAAGCTCTTCTGAAATCACATCTCTGGGTCTTCAGTGTTAGACTTTTGAATGAAAGCGGATGGGAAGATGCCTATCTTCCCGTTGCACTGGCCTTCTAACCAGTCTTCATTCACTGGAAATAAAAACAAACACAATTTTTGTCACCCTAGGGACGTACAGGAGCATAACAACCTCCACGTGCTGCAGACAGGCCCGAGATGGCCATTTTAAGGTTTTCTGCTGATAAACCTTTTAGCCGTGCTAAAGCCAGGTAGAGAGAGGAATGTGGAGGAAAGGGGCTGAGGAGGAATGAGGCAGGGGGCTAAGCTGTAAGATAAGAATGCACTGCCCAACGACGGTGGGAAAAGTAGATCAAAATAGAGACCCAAGGGGCTTAGAAACTGCCTTGAATAATAAATACAGTGGAAACAAAGTGGGTGTGGGGAGCAAGGAAACAATCTGAGACCTTGGGCTGTCCTCTTCAAGGTGATAACAGGAGTCTATGTTCACCTGCTCTTTCCTGTTCATATAAAAAAAAAAAAAAAAAAGGCAAAAAAACCCAAACAAAACAAACAAAAAAAAACCAACAAAACACCCAAAGCTTCTGCTACCCTGGGTTGAGGAAAGCTTAGGAGCTCTGAAAGCCCTTGCTGTGGGGAACGAACTTTCTAATGGGAAATATTTAGCTCAGCAGTGAAGGGGAGAGTAGGAGTTGGGGGGGAGGAGTCATCAATGTTGTGTGGTGCAAAAACTCACCTGTACAGGAGAGAGGGGCGACTATGATTGCTTGTGGACTGCCGCCGAAGCCTGCCAGCCAGCACAAATTCGTGATAGAGCTACCGCTAGCAAAACACCCGTATTTCTCTGCCTTTAAAACTATTGGTGATGTCTTTATTTCACTCGGAGGTTCAGCTGAGGGCAACAAATGCCCTGTGCAGGGGTCTGTACGTAATTCTTCACCTGATAACGGGCTCACCGGCAGCTTTTCTGAAGCACGGTCGCTTTGTCCTCCCTCCTGTGCAGGCTTGAAAGGATCCAGCTCAAAAACTCGTACTAGATCTTGCTGAGATTTAGTCTGTATTTAAGCCTCGGTTCTTATAAAAGCACTAAAGACTAAGTTTTGAAGAGGATTGAGGCTAATGGCAGATTGTAACCTTAAAACCAGCCAGAAAAAGCTGCGGGGCGAGAGGAATGGGAGTAGGAGCATTCTCCCCTCGCAAGGGCAGCAGCCGAACTTGAGGCATCTCCTTTCAAAAAACAAACTTCAATCGGGAAGCTTAAACACGCCTCAAGTGCAACTCTCCCATCTTGAAAGTGTTTGGGGAAGGGGCTGGCAGGAGCGAGAATTCCAGAAGTCTGGAGGCTCAGCAACACTGCTCTCAGTGCTGCAGAGGAGGGCAACCCTTGGAGGTGTCCTGAGGTCGTCCTTCCCCCTGGCTTCCACCTGCCGCCTCACGCAAGCTCTGCGAGCAGCTTTGTCTAACCTCTCTTGTAGAGCGTTTGCATTCAATGCAAGCTTTCTCCGCGTGCCCTGTGGCAGAAAGTCTGAGCAGCCTCTTTGCCTTCCCAAGGTGGCAAGCAGCAGCTTGCCGGAGGGGGAGTTTGCTACCCGTGAGGGCTGCCTGGGCCGGGCTGGTGCTCTGCAGGTCCCCAGCGTGAAACGGTTTGCTTTGGAGGACAAGAGGATTTGGGAAAAGAGATCAAAGAAGCTTGTAGGCTCCGCTGAAGAACTCTGACCAAATCCCCGAGAGTTTTTGGCTTGAGGGGAAGGTGTTGGGAACCCACAACTTCCACTGAGCTGAGCAGCGGCCGCTGCAGGCGCTCGGCATCACGGGGGGTCCCTCCCCTCCCCTGGCCCAGAAGGAGCACCATTACCTTTGGATAGAACGAGTATCACGTCTCCTGCCTGAAACTCCAGGTCTTCAGGTTGGGTGGCTTCGTAATCGTCCTGCGCCACGACTTGGGTCAGTCCCGTCTGCCCCGGCGACTCCTCCGGTTTGCTGTCTGGTAAAAACCCTTCTCCCTAGGGTAGGAAATAAGCCGGGTCAGGACACGTTTTGGCGGCTTTTTCTTTGTTCGGGGCTAAGAGAGACCAGCTCTGCCTCTCCCCTTGGCCTGCTCTTTTGCTCCTCTGCCTTTCAAGACGTCGCTGGCTTGCTTTGGAAGCCACGAGCCTGCGCTCGCGGCGAGGAAAGCAAAGGCAACGGCCGCTTAGGTTTCCTTGGCAGGAGCGGTGGCCGCCACCTCCAGCTGTCACCGACCTCCGTCATGTCACACCAGAGGGTCAGAGTTGTCCTTGCCCTGGCTCCAAGCCGCCTCCAGGTTCCCCGCGCTCAGAGCCACCGGCGCTTGGCTCTCCGCAGGCTTGTACCTGGGTGCGCAGAGGACGCGGGGTGAGGGCGGGAGCCCCGAAACCACGACCCCGGCTCCCCGCAGCGGGCAGCGCCTCACCTCAGCTGCGCGTGCTCGGGCTGGAGCTCCAGTTTCTTGCAAACCAGGTCCAGGAGCTCCGTGTAGGAGAGGCCCGGCTCGACTTGCAGGGCGACGGTGTATTTGTAATGCACCTTGAGGACGTGGGGGCTGGAGGCGGCTGCTCCGGCCTCCTGCGGGCGGGAAGGTGGATGTCAGAGCTCGTGGGGCTTGGCGAGGGCAGGGAGAGGGACCGGGACGTGGGGACTGCGGGGCAGCGGCTGGCTGCTGGGCAGGGGACACCTCTGCGGGCCTGGGCAGCCTTGGGTGCTTCCCTCGGGGACAGGGCAGCGGTGGTGCCGCCCGGGCTACCCCCGGATGTGCCCTGGGCTTGTCCCGGGAGAGAGCACAGGAATCGATGGGGCACTTCCCAACCCAACCGTGGCTTTCGGCTGACCAAATTCGAGGTGCGTCCACCCTCCAGCCCTCCTCATTCTTTCTTTTTGGGCCTCGGGGGTTGTTGTGTTTTGCCGCCTTTCTCCCCAGCGAGCCCTGTGATGCCGCTGACCCTGCCCAGGGGTGTGTGTGCGTTACAGCCAAGCTCCCTCCCACTTCTCCCTTCTCAAGTGCCACAGGTCAACCAAGATGAGAGTCGTACCAGGGCTCTGCTGACAGCCCCGGGTCCACCGGGGACTCAGCCTGGAGGAGAGCTCCCAAAAAGCAGCCCTAGTCACCCGGTCGGGTCCTGATGACCTGCTGGCCCCTAGCCCTGTTGTTATGCTTTGGGGAAGCTCCTGAATGATGAAAACCTGAAACACTGCCAGGGCTGTGGTGCTTGCCGGGCCTGCCGGCACCTTTCAACGTGCAATAAATGCAGATCTGTAACCCCGACAGGACCTCGGGGTCTGCGTTCGCAAGGTGTTCCCTCTGCTGCATCTCTCGGCTGCGTCGCAGGAGCGGGAACGTGGTCTGTGGAGGAAGAAAGAGGTGGCTCGGCAAGTGGGACAGGGTAGGCATTGCTGCCCTGTGCCTAAATACACATCCAGTTCTCCTGCAGCCCTTCTCCTTGACGCCCGTCTTTATCTGCAGCAACACCGAGCAAGCCGGGAGCCAACAGGGGTCCCCTGAACGGACGGAGCACCAGCTGCGATGGGGGTTCATCCACTGGATTTTAAATATAACCCCTGAGCAGAGGATTGGGCTCTGTGCCTTCTCTTTTACAGGGATGGGAGCTTTAGGGGTGGGATGTCTTTCCTGGGTGGAGTCAAACACATAAATAAATAAAATAAATGAACTGCTGGTTTTGGTGTCTTTGCTCTTCTGATCTCCCTCGGTCCCTACTGAAAACCGTAGGCGATCCCTGCCCTTCACCAGGGTTATAAAGTTAAATTCAGACCTCCGGGTAGGGTGATTTCATGCAGGTTTGCTGAAGTCTCTTCGCAAGGATCTGCCCTGGGTTTTGTCAGTGCTTTGACACGACCTGTGCTCGTTAGGGGAAGAGCCAGAGCTGCGCTGTCGAATGCGATCCCACGGCTGGATCTGCGAGGGCTTTTGGTGCCGTAAAGATGCTCTTGGAGGTTGTTGGGGCCCTTGAGCCCGTAACTCCCGTGAGCCGCGGCCATTCTCTGTAGCAGCTTTACCCCCGGGCTGCCTCTGAGGCTGCTCTGCTTGGGGCACGAGCCCTCTCCTGCCATTAGTGGTCTTTTGGCCCGCCTTTCCCCACCTCCGCCTGGCTCAGGCCCCCCCCGGGAGCAGGGGGTTGCCAACTGGTTGTCCACAGGTTCCTCTTTCTTTCGGCAGGTCGGGGGGGCGATAGCCGGAATAAACTGCAGCAGGTTAACGCCCGTGCGGCGGGGGCTCTGCACGGTGATCATTTCTACCCCACATGGGTCTTGCTCGCGGCTCAGCCGCAGGCTCCCACCTCCCAGCACCGCGTGACGTTTTCTGGAGAGGGCAACTCCCACCCCTTCCTCCCGGCTCTGCGTTTTGGCTCGTGCTCCCACGTGCCCACGCGTGCTCCTCAGCTTTAAACAGCCATTTCGGACCGTGCAGCCGGGCCGAGGCAGGCGGCAGAGCCCTATTTTGGCTTCCCAGCAGCCTGAACCAACTGCGCTGGGGGCGATGTGGTGGCCCTGGTGCTGCCCTCCCGGCCCCCGGGAGGTGGGACGCCACGTACCGCTGGCCAGGAATCCCCTTCCCAGGGCAACCACAGCTCGTCCCAACCGAGCCCAGCTCACAGCAGCACCGCAACCACTGCAGGTGCCCTGCTCTAAGCCTGTAAGGAACCTTCTCCGAGGCTCAGACAAGCCGGGTCACTCGCTCCGATCCTACCCCCAGGCCCTTTTACTCCATTAGTCCCTGTGCTAATTAAGAGCAGGGAGGGACTTGCTTTCCTTGAGGACCCACGTGCTCTATTTTACTCCATCCCCAGCCCTGAGGTTGCTACTCTGCCTCCTGCTTTAATGTCTCCCCATCCTTGACCGCAAATGGCTCCAGGAACTGAGATGGAGATGGAGAGGAGCCCTACCCCTGGTCTCAAAGCCTGAGGACACAGCACTGAGGAAACCATCCCAAACCTGCAGCCGGGGGTTTCAGCCCTAAGGCCCCCCCTGTCCCCCCTCACTGACCTGGTGGTGGCCGCCGCGGCTTCGCCGGAGCGAGGGAGCTGGGTGACTCTGGGATTTCATCTTCAAGAGGGGTTTCGTCCTGTGCCAGACGGGAAGAAGGTAGTGCTGTCAATCCCACCCTTCCCATGGGAGCTGGGGTGCTGTTGCCTCATGGACACCCCCTCACCCCCCCCTTCCAACCCGCTGTTTTCCCAAGGTCTGTTTGGGGCGTTGAACCGGGGAGGGGTGACTTCGCTACCCCCTTATCTCCCAGGCATTCGCCAACCACCACCTGGGAGGCCGCCAACACAGCATCTGCCCAGATTTTGCAGGTCTCTGAGCTCACGGGAAGGTGACCATGAGCCAGAAGAACCAACCCCAGCATTACGAGGGGGGAAGGGGCTGCAGGTACGGCTCCTGCTGGAAGGCCCAGGATAGGTGGTGAGTGAAAGTGTGGGGATCTGCTCTCCCCAGGACACCGTCTCCTCCTGGGCTCTCTCACCTGGATGTGCAGCTTGTTCTGGAGCTCCACAGGCTCGAGGTAGTTGCAGGGGACGATCCCTTTCTGTGGGGGAAGGAGAGACGAGTGAGGACTGCTTGGCAAGGAGGCAACCCACTGCTGGAGGACACAACGGAGCTTGTCCTCGCCCTGCCCTGAATCCAGGAGAGTCCCCGAGGCCTCCTGAAGGCTAGTTGCTGCAGGTTGGGTGGGTTTCACCAAACCCTGTGGCCGAAGCCAGGGTGGGCATAAGGGACTTCAGTCAGGAAACTCATTTCGTTGCTGTTGGCAAAGCTTTGCCCTACAAGTCCTCTGCAGAACCTCACAGCGTCCGCCCCATCATCTGCCCCCCTCCCGCCGAGCACGCCGCTGGTACCTTTCCGTTGAACATCACCGTAGCCCAGTTGTCCTTCTCTTTCTTCAGGACAAAGACAATGTTTCCCAGGCAGGACCTGCAGCTCCTCGTCTGTCTCGGGGATGAACTCGTACAGGACGCGATGTGGCTGCCCTTTGAGGGCCCTGGGTGTGGGCGCAGCGGACAGATCAGGAAGGTGGGAAAATCCTGTTGGTTTACTTTGTAGGAGGAACCCAGACCTCTGCCTCCTTGTTTCTATGAGCTGTTCCCCCTCCCCGCTGAGGTCTGGGTGCTGGCTGGACACTCGGCTGCGACGGTGCCGGATGGGGTTGGACCTGGCTGCACGGGTTAGCAGCGTTGTCCATACTTGGTCCAACTTACCTGAGGATTTCTGGGGTCTTGGGCCTGGGTGGAGGACCAGAGGCCTGCCAACAAGATGACAGAAAATGATCAGTAATCTGGAGGATTTTGGTTGCTTTGTAGAAACGTCCTGCAGCCTTCTACCACGCCTGCCATCACCCCTACACGATCCCTTCCTCCCCGTGCCGGTGTCAGGTCAGATGAGTTGAACCTAAATGTTTTCGGCTCTCTGCCACCCAGATGCGTAACGCAGCTGTCTGGAGTGCCATGAGGAATATCACCGGCTTTGCTCTTTCTAAGGAGCAGTTTCCAAATTCTCCCAGCTGCCGTTGGTTTTCAGAGGCACGATCCTGTTTCCGCTCATGGTTTTGGTTTCAGCTCACAGAGGGCTGAGACCAGGGATTTGAGATCTGCTGGTTTAAACTAAGTTGTGCGTCCCCGTATCCTCCCATTCCCGTGCTTGTAAAATCCCCTGCTGCCGTCGTAGTTCTTCACAGTCTCTCCTGCCTATGTGATTTAAGGTTTCTGGTGGATTTTATCAACCCTCTGAAGAAGCTACTTGAAATAAGCCTGGCTCCTGTAGTGAGATGTCAACACTTGGCTGCGTTGAGAAGAGTCTATTTTGTCCTGCGTAACGGTGCTGCAGGCTGCAGCGGCTGCGCTCCCCTGTATCCTCTCAGAGCTCCTGTGAAAACTCTCGGGTGCCTTTAGCGATGGAAAGACGCAGCTACATCGTCAGGGAAATGTCACAGAAAACGCGAAGGGCTTTGGGAACAGGGGGGAGGAAGGAGAACGGAAGCAGAACCGCTCTTGTTTCTCCACTCACGCTCAGACAGCTGAACCCCGGTGAATCTGGCCGGGAGGGTCTGAGACAGCTCCCTGCCGAAAGCCGTGACCCCGCAGCAACAGGGGGGGGGGGGCAGGGGCAGAGGATGCGCCGCCAGGCCACGACTTCCCCGTTCAGGGAACCGTCTTAGCCTCGACCACAGCCGTAGGTGGGTTTGGGCCACCCTTTCCGATGATGGAGGGAGCAGCTGAGACGTGGGGGCGGCGTCCGCCTCCTCCCCACGGCAGTAGCAGAGAGTTCACGGTGACCATGGTGCCCTTTGCTCCCCACTGTGAGTCAGAGCCCGCGGCAAGCTGGGGGATGATACCCATCCCCACGGCCCCCCTCAACTTTCACCAGGGATGCTGTTCACTGGCGGTGCCTTACCTGTGGCTGGAGTGGAGCAAATCCCGAAAAGTCATCCTTGTCCACCACAGATGCCACCACCTAGAGCCAAAGACAGACAGGTAGCGACTTGGTGCTTGTAGACCTCTTAGACCTCTGATGCTGGCCAAGCCAAGTTCCTCAGGATGCTTCAGGTTCAAGAGGGGCTGTGACATTAGCCGAAGCATCTTTGATTACAGTCTGAGTGCTTCTGGCACCAAAACTCACCTCTCAGCTGGGGTAAGTTCTCAGCTCTTAGCCTCACTGTTACTGTGGTTAGGGTTGCCACAACCTAAAAGTTTCCCTTCACGTTTTAATCACAAATGTTGAAGGGAGCCAAAGTGTCCAGCTCAAGCCCTTACCTCCTATAGGTGTTTATTAGCTTTCTAAACATAATTTAGAAAGTTAATAAATGTTTGTGTGCGTGCTTCTGGGGTTCCCCTGACACCCAAGGGGCTGCCTGGCTCTCGGTCACCCGATTCCCCGTGCCTGCACGGCCGACTGGTTCCCTTCCCAGAGGAGAGCTCCTCCCAGGACTGGAGCCCAGGGGCGATATCCCAGTGCTTGGATTTTGCATACTCATGGGAGAAAGGTTTGCTCACTTCTCGGAGCTGAAAAGCCCCTTTCAGATGGAGCAGAGGAAGAACTGGAGGCAATTTGTGGGTGTCAAATGCTAAATAGCTTCTTCCTCCCCCCCACACACCTCCTCCTTGAAAAAAATCTTGGCTCGAGTTGAAGCTCCAGGGGGACCTTTCCAGCTCATTGCTGACTCACTGTCCCTCATGTCCCACTAAGGAGAGAAACTGAAAATAGGTCATGCTCTGCAGAAACATGTTTTTAGCAACTCTATTCTTGCAGAGTCCCTGTTCCCCATGAGACCCTCGATGTGCCATCCCTCTCTCCACTCCGGGGGGGTCCCTGCGGCACGGACCGGCTCCGTAGCTCTGGCTGCCCACCAGGCAGCAGGTACCTGCTCAGAGCGGGGGTGAGAAGGTGGCCGGCAGCTCTCCTCAGCCCACAGGCTTGGCCTGAATAAATGAGATATTTCTTTCTTACCATAGCCTTTCCCAGGTAGTCCTTCTTCTCCAGCTGAGCCACTTGCTTTTCGTTCGGTCTAAACAGCTTCCCCGTGGGAATGGCCACCAGCTCGCAGAGCTTCTGCTTCTGTAGCACAAGAGAAGTCATCGCTTCTTCAGAGGCGAGGTGACTGCTTAATGTCGCCTTCCTTCTACCTCTGGGGTTAAGGTCTCGCTCCGTAAAGCCAAAACACCACTATGACAGCCCAACCCCAGCCCTCACATGGTCCAATTTAACCAAGCCTTCCCTTTCCTGCCTCCCCTGTGACCCAAAGCTCTTCCCACCAAGTTGTGTCTCACTGCAACACCCACATTTTGCTCAGCCAGCCTGCTGTGCTTTTCTCCAGCTCTGCTAAAGCCGTAGCTAGAAGTCGCTTTCTCCATCACTGGGGTTTTTCTCCCTCCTCCCTGCTGTCAGCAAACACGGCGGCTGTAAGACCTGCTCCTCCTTACCAGGATGGCTTCCATCGCCCTGTCGATCTTGTTGTGCTGGGGCTCGCTCTTCATGCTCATGGCCAGCGTCAAGTGCTCCTCAGCTTTCCTCCAGTCCTCCAGCGTGGCGTACACCAGCGCGATGTTGTAGAGGATCTGCCGGAGGGATGGGAGCAAGGAAATGTGCTCTTAGAGCAGCCAACCCGTGGCCGGGAGCGTGGTAAAAGAGAGGGCAGCAGGGCGGTGGCACTGCGTCAGCTTGCTCGCTTTTTGGCAAGGCGCAAGGAGAGGTTGGCTGTTTTCTCCTTAGATTTCTTGAGCTGGTGAGCAGACCTTTGGGATCCAAACTGTCGGTCAAGTCTTTCTCACCTCGCAAGCAAAGAGCCTGTACCGCAGCCCCAGGATCTTGTAGTCGATGAGCTGGTTGCCTCGCAGCTGGGCCAGCGCCTCTTTGAAATCCTCAACGGCCTTTTCATGGCTGTGGAGCGGAGGACAAGGGTGTCACTGCCTCGTGGTGGCAACCTGCCTGCCTCTAAGTCTTTACTTCAACTTGTGTGAGTTTAGTTGGGGCTCTCCTCTTTCCTTGCAGTGTTTTCAGACACCCCAGGGGGAGGAGAGGTGCTCCAAGGCTGGTGTTAATCCCAAGACTGCACTGCTGATGAAGAGGAGATTGTTCTACCTCGAGGGGTTGCAGTTTGGCCCCTGGGCTACCAACCAGCCTGGGGCTGTCCTCAGCCAAAGGCTGGCATCTCCCCAGAAATGAAACTTTAAACCTCTTTCACTCACTTCTGCCTCCGGTAAAACACGGTCCCCCGCTGGAAATAAGCCACTGCCAGGTGCTTGTCGCAGCTGATGCTCCGGGTGAACGCCTGCACAGGAGGTAGGAGTGGGGCAAAAAAGTGTGTGTGTGGGAGGGGGGGGTAAAAAGGGAAGAAGACCTTTAAAAAACTGAGGGCGTAGCGACTGTGTACCTTACCTCCTCCGCCTCGGCCAGCTTCCCCAGAACAAGGTGGATGCAGCCGATGTTAAAGCAGATTTTGGCAGGGGGGTTCTGGACGGCCGTGAAGGCATCCAGGGCTGCCCTCCACTCCTTCCCATCCGCCGCGCACACCCCTTCTTGCCACAACCGGATCGTCTCCACCAGGGACATGGCGCGGTGGGAGCGGGACGCCGCGGGGTCCCCGGCTGCGTCCTGGGGCTCGCCCCCCTCTCTTTGTCCTCCCTTGCGGCGCGGCTCGGCCTCTCTCGAGCTCCCTTCTCCCCGTCCTTCTGCCTTCCCCGCTGCCCGTGTCGCAAACCTGGCAGGAAGTGGCCTCACTCGCATCACTGAAACGCGGCCCCGGGCTGGGGAAGTGAAGCAGAGGCTGCCTCCGCCGCAGCGGGTTTCCACCGCTTGCAAGCCAGGTCCTCTCCGGCCGCCGCTCCTCACCCCCTCGGGTTCTGCTTCTCCTGTTTGTTCAGACAAAAGCCACGGATTTTTGCCGGCCAGCTGGTTGATCAGGGTCAAATTTAAGGTTGCAGTGCCGCCGAGGGAGCGCTGCAGCCGAGCCCCTCGTGCCCTCCGAAGCGTGGCCCTCGGCGGAGGGAACTGCGAAACGGTTCCCGCCGGCCCAAGCGGGAGGGCCGAGCAGGGCCCAAGGCACAGCCTGGCAATCCTTTCCTCCTGCCCGTCCCCCCAGGGAGCGACCCCGCTGCCTTGGGGCGCGCGGAGCTGCCCCGGGATGTGACAACTCGCGCTCGGCCCAGCATCATTCCTGACGAGGTGTTTCATGGCCAACGGAGCGCGACCCGGGAGGGCAGGGGGGAGGCTGGGCACGGGGCAGCCCCAAAGGCAGGGTCAGCAGGGCTCTGACCCGCTGGCTCCGGCGGTTCGGAGCTGGGTGCTCCACACGTGGGTTCCTAAGTCGTTTTGGAAATGCTTTTGCCTCCGCCCCATCTCCCAGCGCTGGCGATGCGTATTTTGGAAGAGCTTAAAATCTGTCCGCAAGACGTGGCCCTCGCGCGTTTCCTCACGCTGCCGCCGCAGATTACGTGATGCCAGCAAGAGGAGGGAGGCTGGGGAGGAGGCTTTTGTTTGACGGCCGCTCGGGAGGAAACCCAAGCTGCTGAAGAGCAAGGACTTGGTTTTCATCCAAAAGGAGGAGGGAGCGCATCCCTGCGCCTCAGGCTCTCCTTGGTTCTCGGTTGTAAGCGTGCCCTTGGCATCCCCCCGCACCCAGCCAGCTCCCGTGGGACCAGGAGACTCTTCGACCTCTGGAAAAGCAGAGGGAAACGCAACCAGCCGAAGCGATGCTGAAGGAGAGGGGTGGGAATAACAGCGTGGTGAGCAGGAAAACACTCCTCTGAGGTGCTTTTTCTCATTCCTTTGAGGAAGGCGAGACCCCATCTCATAGGAAGTGGTTCACCTTACCGTACTGGATAATTTTCTGCTCCTTTAATTATCTGAATTGGCACACCGGTAGGGTCAGGTTGAGCCCAAAACTGGTACAAGGGGAGCTGGAGCAGGGTGCGAGATCACCCCTGGGTTTTGTGCTGGGTTTTTTTCCTTGCATTTCACAGCAAGATAGAATCTGACAGATGCAAGCACAGCAAATGCTCAGAGCAGCTATCCTTCCGCCTGGTTATTTTTAACGCTAACGTCCAAGCAATGCCAAAGGTGCGATAAACAGTAAGAGTGAGTCTCTTGTTCCCCTTTCTCTTACCAAGTTGCTTTATTAGGCAAACTTGTTTCTCCTCCAGTAACGTCCAAGAGGAAGTAACGGAGGTGGCGGCACCTCCTGTGGGAGATTCTTGGAATCCGGCACAGTCGCAGATCGCCAAGAGACAGGTAAGAAAGAAATACCTAGAAACGCCCCCAATGCAGCTAAGCTGCAGGAGTCATTTTTAAGTTTGTACAGCAACACTGCGCAAGAGTTTGTCATCGTTTCAGGCGAGGAGAGTCGTCCCCCCCAAAAAAATGCTGATCCGGGCACTATAAACATTACACAAGAGGAAAGACTGAGGGGCTTGATCTCGTCTGGGAGGAGATCTGTGACGCAGGAGGAGCGGAGGAGGCTGAGCGTGCCCGGCTCCTTCCCTGGGAGGAGGTTTTGGCTCGGTCCCTGCGGGGCAGGAGCCGGTGGCGGCTCCTTGGCCGGGCGCTGCCCGGCTCGGGGCTCGGTGGGGCTCAGCGCCCCGGGCCGTGAGGAAGCCGGGTGTGAGTGATAAGGTGCCGTTGCCACACGCTCCGGCCAAGGCCGAAGGCGCGCTGGGGGGTTGCCGGCGAGCCTCGGAAGCGCCGAGCCTTCCCGGCAGAGCCCTGCAAACGCCGTCCCCCTTCGAGCAGCTCCGAGCTGCACGTAGAGCGTTTTGCAGCGAAGGCCTCCTCCTCGTAATAGGAAGGGGAAATGTGTTCTGCAAGGTGGAGTTGGCTAGGGATTTATTCTTTTTCTCTTCCCTGCCCACCTTTCTCTGTTTTCCTCTTAGAAACCTGTCGTGTCGTATCACTCAAATGGCAGAGAGACCAGGGGAGATGCCTGCCTGCAAATCACGCGCTACTGCCCCCACAGCGGCGCGTGTCTCTTAGCACATCCCCGAATGAAAACGCAGATGATGTATGTGTTTTGTAAACGTTTCTCAATCCACCATAGGCCAGCCCACGGGGAAAGTGGGGAACTCGAAGATCGCTGCTCTTGCTGCCTTCGTTTATCTAACGCCACCTAGAGGTAGCTGACCTGCTTTGACATCGATTGTTTTGGAAAATGTTTTTCACTTATCTGGGATTACATTATTTATTAATTAAATAGTTAGTTTATTATTATTATTATTATTATTATTATTATTATTATTATTATTATTATTATTATTATTATTATTATTATTATTATTATTAAAATGAGGATTGATTGCTGTCTTAACCAAATTTGCATAAATGGAAGGAAACATAGAAGCCAGACACAGTCCCTGGAAGAGCTGTAAGGACTGCACACGCCTGGGAGGCTGAGCTGTATGTATGTATGTATGTATGTATGTATGCATGTATATACAGTCAAAACCTGGATGTTTTCTGTGATCTTTGCCGCAAGGCCAGGTCTTCCACGTCGCGTGGCCAGTGCCTCCCATTGTGCCTATGTTATTCTGAAGAAGTTAAGAAAAAAAAAGCATCCCAGGGAGGGAGGGAGGGAGGGCACCAAACGGTTGGGGGGTAACCACGCCAGCCCCAGCCCGCGCTGAGGCCCCGAGGACGCGGGGTGCTGTGCCCCTCGCCTGCCCCACGGGCACCCCGGGGGAGCGGGTGCCGGGGCTCCGCTGCCCCGCTCTGAGGGCTGTCAGAGGGACACCCAGGAGGGGGTGGGATGGAGGGAAAAAGGGATTTTACTGGAGACGTCGACTTCCTGATTCCGGAGCACAGGGGTGCACGGGGAGCGCTTTGCCCCGAGCCGTCTGGAGGCTCTAGCTCTGCTGTTCCATAGCGGGGGCTTGGCTGGGGAAGAGGAGACAGCCTTCAGGCACCAGAGTGCCCGACACCAGCGGGTTCCTGCTCGCCCAGGCCCTGCCCGAGTACGGGTGCCATTAGCGATGACGCAGGCACGCACAGTCACCCCACCCACGGGACAAGCCCGGGACCAGATCCGTGATTAAATTATTGAAACCAACAATTAAATGTTTAATCTCTCGGAGGTGGGGCAGGCAGAGGGAAAAACAAAAGCCTAACTGTGAAATCAGGAGCGTTGCTCCGCACAACCTCCCTGCTAGGCCATTACCCTTTCCTTTCCTTTGCTCTGGAGAAGCATCTACCGTTAACGGCTGCGAGGATCTTGCCCTCTGGCTCCAATTTTAGCGTAGGCAGAGACCTCTCTAGTACTCCTGGTCTAGAACTTTTTTTGTTGTTTAAATATCTCACTAAAATAATCTCAGATTTTGTAGCTGGGTGAAGCTGCGCGTGTATCGCCGTTACGTACGGCTACAAATAGCCACGAGGAAGCAAGCCCATCAAGAAAAATCACAGCAGGGAGTTTTAGGACTTGCTTTTTTACTGTTCTCCATCCTGGAATAGCAGCCTGCTGAAACCTGAAGGCATTTCAGACACCGAGGAAATATTCAGTGATGATTTATTGTCCCGTCTTTATTACTGTTACAAAAAAAAGCAGATACCAAAAAACAGCGAAGATTTCACAAGTTCCCCAACAGTTTTACACAACTGAACTGCAGTAAAGTGGTGAATGTAAAACACATGTATTTCAGTCCTGGCCCTGAACCTTCAATGGTGATCTGTGGTCTGGGATGCCCTGGGCTTTCCTAATTCTTTTTAAAGTGTTCCTCTTCATTCCAGAACCCAATTCGCCCGCTAGCTAACACGCTGTGGCACAGTGCAACAGGAATGTGAACTCTCCGGTATCCTTTAGGACCCTATGCCTCTAGAAAACAACACCTGGGAGCTCTGCAAGGATGGCGTGGACACCGCTACGCGTTTCTCAGATTACCCCAGGCAGCCACTTTGTTGTGCTTGACAAAATCAAATCACTTTCAAGTCGCTGAAAGGTGATTTTTCTGTGTGAAAGCTGCCGTTTCCTCTTCTCTTCAGGATCTTTGCTCCCCAAACTAAAGAGAGGTCACCGGGCTGGGTTCCAGTCTAAATGGACCACCGACCTTTTAAACGCTACCACCCAAACTGCACGACAGACAACTTCATCCCGTTGTGACTTTTCCCACTGCGGACCCAACATCTGACTGATCACAAGGAACCTGAACAGGCCGTGAGACGTGAGGTTGAGGAAAAGACTCGGCTCTCTGGAATGATAATTGGGGCGGGAAGGGAGCCTTTGCTTTCTGTCCTGTTCACGGCTGTAGGTTCAGAGGTTGACCAAAGTAAACGTGGTCCAGTTACCTACAGTAATAGCTGCCCCACTTCTCAAATATAGATCTTACATCAAAACAGTGCTTGGTTAGCGAAAAGAATGAAGACATTGGTCCAAATCTGCCATAATTATACACAAGTGCAAATCACCCTAAACGTGAAGTTGTGTATGTTGCTCTACATGTCACTGAAATGTCTGCGAGTACCAAATATTCCTGTTAGAAATAAAATTGCACCTTCATAATTTCCCAGAATTTAACAAAAAAAAAAAAAAAAAAAAAAAGAGATCACGATATGCATTATTTATCGGGTACGAAAGAAGCAACGAGAAGGCAAGCTGAGAGACAGGCGCTGCCCACGGGGCAGCAATGGCATTCGGTGGTTTGGTTTTTGCACCAGCATTTCCCACGCCGTGGGTGGCGGACAGCCACTCGCTGCTGGATTTAAACCGTTTTCCTGGCAGTCAAAACGCGGACAATGGACCCTACTCCTCCAGCAGCCAGGGCCTGGGAAGAGAAATACAGCAGTTAACAGAAGATCAAAGCAGCTACGGGCCAAAATGACTGCTGGCCAGAACGGCCTCTGGCTGCTTTTCAAACCAGCATCTCCCCGCTCTTTACATTAAAAATGAAACTCTCACACTCAGGGTGCGAGGAAAGGACGATCGCCTTCGCTTTGAAGGCAGTTATTCAGCAGGCTTTTATTTCCCTGCATAACCAAGTTGCAGATTTTGTTTCCCTCTAGGAAGGAAATTCCAGCTCCATCTGCTTGAATCACCGGATTGAAACATTTCGTTTGCCTCAGTCTAACGTAAAACCAAATTTTAACTGTAGAATCTTCACCCGAGGAATCAAGAGCAGCAGGCGCACGAGCTTGCAGGAGCATTTTGGTTTCAGCGGGCAGAAAGGCAGCTCTTACCGGGCTCGGCGAGCGTGCCTGGGGCCCCAGAACCTGCTACCGCCGATAACCCCGGCGAGAGCAGGCCCTACAAACACACCTTCTCGTGCCACTGCAGCAGCACAGCGCTGCTGTTGTCCGAGGGGCTCTCAAAGCCTTTGTAGATGTACTTCATCAGCAGGTCGACACCGTTCTTGTCCAGCGACTGCACCGCCTTCTCAATATCGTTGGCTTTGAAAGAGATGAGGACCTTCAGGACAATACTTTCTGCGCGATCCTGTCAACAAACAAGGCAAGGAAAGATACATTCACTCTTGAATAAGGTGTGTTCAAATATTACCCATCAATCCCATAAACAAAGCTAGATATTTTTTTTTTAAAACAATTCTAAAATCTGTTTGAATAGGGCAGTTTGCACACAAAGCTTGTGATGATAATGTATAATGGATATGTCCTCCCAGTGATAAACAGCATAAAAGAGTTTAAGGCATTTGTCCTGCTCTGGGGTTTCTGCCCCTCTGGTGGCATTTGCAATTCGCCACCTATTACATGAGTTTACAGCTACACAATATAAATTTTCACATGGAAAACCCAAGGTCTGGTAAACTCCAAAAGAATTAGAAGAATAAAGTACTTGCCACCAGAGCCTTTTCCATGCCTTTGCACTGTATAATGAGCTACAAGTATTCTATTCCATGCAAATGCCATTAGCCAGCCTGGAAGAGGTGACTGCTGGAAGCCACAGGTTTTCAAGAGTCAGCTGTCCCAGGCACGCAGGATGCAACCTGGCAGCATTAATATTCTGCACTAATAACCCTTTGCAAGTTGATCTGGATGTCACTGCAAACCCAGGAACGTGTGTGGCATGATTACAGCAGCAGATTAGCCACGTAATCAGCAAAAAGCAGCTCTTCCTGTTCATCCATCACTAACTCAGGGAGGGTGAAAGAAAAAGGTCTTGGGTTTGTTGGACTTTTGAATGATTCCATTATAGAAATGCTTCAAGTAGCTTCCTCCTCCAGAAATTACAGGTGTTAGTGTTCCCGTTCAATTTTACATCCCACAGCTGCTTGGCTTAGCGAGACCCCACGTGAAGAACTATAAGTAAAAACATAAAAGTTCCATGAGATCAAGTGAAAATGAAGCCAAACATTACAATTCAGTCACTCTGCCCTCTTCAATTCCACCGCCTTCCAAGCATATTCTGAAATACATCAATACACATCTAATGGAAACAAGCCCGTTAATGTGGGGACAAAGCTGCTCCATCTTTCGTACAGCACCATTTGTAACAAGCAGCTGGATCTCAGAACCCCCTCTGAAAACCCTCAGGAAAGGGCTGGGGCTAGCTGAAAAAAAAAATCTCCACCGGTGGCCTGGTGAGCAGCACGGAAACGTGCCCGTGGGCCTCTCCTCGAGCGGGGAGAGCAGACCTCCACAGGCGCTCACCGTCAGGCAGTTCCACAGCTCATCTGCCTGTTCCTCTCGCCGCTGCAGTCAGGAGCCATTCCAGGTTTTTTCTGGGGAGATTCAGAAATACATGCAGGCAGCAGGCTCCTACAGTCTGTCATGGGGGGAGGGTTTGCATTTTCCGAGGTTTTAACGGCTTCATTTTGACTGGATGCAATAACCAGCAGTTCTTCCTTTTTTGTAGGTTCACGGTCTGGCGAGCGAGCAGAGTTTCCTTCGTCAGAGGTGACAACTGCAGTTGTGGTTCCCCGACCGTTCGGCGCCGACTCCATCCGTGTGCTGCCAGGGCTGGGTCAGACACGGGCACCCGGCGGCGCGCGGGGTTAGCCAGGGCACGGCACCCACACCCAGCGCGGGTGGGAGAGCGCGCCAAACCTCACCGAGCACCAGCTAACGGTGTACGGACAGGTGGCATCCGAGCTGCGGGATTTGGAGTAAAATTAAAACACCGGCTGTTGAGCAATCAGGGAATACCCTAAACCCAGCTTCCTCAAAGTACGCCCTGGCAGGGTTGGTGGGGTCGGGGTTACAGACACAGGGAAGGATTTTTAAGGAGTGACCCCTGAGTGAGTTTGCTGCCATTTCACCTTCACTGCCTGGTTCTTTGTGTGGATCGGAGGGTTCTTCAGAGCCGCCTGCAGCGCGGCCATCGTGTTCCCTGTGCCGGAGGGTTAAGGACCAGGCACCGAGAATTCCCAAGTCGGCAGCAGCAGCCCCAGCACGGCGATGCCGCTCGACCCAAAACGCTTCGGGTTCGGCGGCTGCAACGCTTCCCTCGGCGGATCGCACGGATTACCCCCTTCCCGCCCTCCTGTCAGCACACGGACGGGCACGGACGTTCCCCTAAAGCCAGCCCCGGCCTCGCCCCGCACCCCGCTCCCCGCCGCGGCCGCGCCCCGCGGGACTACTTGCCGCCCGGCGGCGGAAGGATATTGCCGCAGGCACGAGTCCACCTCGCCCTCATCGGGCCCCGCTTGCCCGTCGCCTCCTTCCTCCTCATCCACGAACTTGTTCTCGTCGTACTCGTCCACGTCCACCCGGCGGAACCGCGCCGATGACACCGTGTGCTTCGCCATGGCCGCCCCGCCGCCGCCGCTCCCGCCGCGCAGCCGCGCGCTGAGGGGACGGGCCGCGCAGCCGCGCGCTGAGGGGACGGGGCCGCCCGGCCGCGACGCCAAGGGGCGGGGCGGAGCGACGGCTGCCATTGGTCGGCTGCCAGCGGGGGGCCGTTCCCCGGGCAGATCGGCGGCTCCCATTGGTCGGCGGCCAGCGGTGGGCGGGGCGTTGCCCGGGTGAGGGGCTCAGCGTCCGGTCGCCGTGGTTACGGACGCGGCGTTCCCGCCCAAGTCCCAGCGGTCGCGGATCGGGCCGGTGCCCCCAGACGCGGTCGCCGCCGGGCGCCGGGCGAGCGGGCGGGTCTCCTGGCCAGCCCAGTCAGCGAGCCTTCCCCACGGACCCGGAGGCAGTGCGCCATGCCGTGCGGCATCAGATTAGGTCGCTGTTTCAGACGGGTACGAGCAAGGCAGGAGCCCCCCCCCCCCCTCCTCACAGTCCCGGGGCGGGGCGGGGGGGGGGGGGGGCGGGGTGGGGGGGCAAGGAACGGGGGGGAGTGCCAACGGACGGGGTGCCCCGGCTCTGAGCGCGGAACTCCGAGCTCTAAACACCGCTTTGTTCCTCCAAGAGTTAAAAAAACAGCACTGGCTTCACGTTTCTTGTCAAAAAGAAGCGATCGCCCCCGCACGCCAGCGCGGACGGCTGCCCGCGGCCGTGCCGGTGAGCGTTTTATCCGAAAGCGTAGAATGAGTATGGCCTAATTCAAGAAAACTGTTCTAAAAAAGCGCCGAGGCGTTGTAAAAGTCAGCGATCCGGTGGATTCCACCACAGTTCTGCCTCTGCGATGCCCCCCGGGACGCGGAAAGACATTTGAGTCTCCAAGCGGGGTCGCCTCTGCTGAAGCGGGGGGTGGTTTAGGTCACGCCGGGCAGCCACCCCCTTTCTTTTCCTTCGATCCATCAAAGCTGTGACCACAAGAAGAGCACAAAAGGTGCGGGAGCACCGACTCGACACAATTAGCCGGTGTGTTTGTGGGCAACGGCCGTGACCTGGGAAGGACGCCCCGTTCCCCGGGCAGCAGCGTGTTCTCAGCGGCGGTTGTCCTGTTCTTTAAGACCTTTAGTCTGACAACAAATACACTGAATCACAAAGTGAAAACACTCCTCTAAATCATAGGAACTTTTTTTTTTTTTTTTCCCCAAGTTACACTTGGACTGTGTAGGTCTGTGTTATCTATATTATCCTATTAGATATTTCTTACTAATTAGAAAATTACACAGCCTCGTGAGCTTCATCCAAATGGAAGGCAAGAGCCCTAGAAACCCACCCCCCACCCCCCACCCCCCATATATGTGTATATTAACCCCCTGTTATTAAGGGAACAGCTAGTAGAAAAACTTTATTAAAATATCAGCCTTACCTGCAGAACCACCTTCTTGACAGAGGAGGAATTTAGGATATGTCATGTGTTCCGCCAGCGTTAGCTCAGCTGGGAAGCTCCAATCCAGCAGTGGCGGTGGCTGTAGCTTGGGGACTGCTTACATTTTTCTGGTAGAAATTGTCTTAAAGACAACAAATAAATTAATCCCAGGAGGTAATCAGATGATACTGAGGTTTTGGTTTTACTGCTATGGGTTTATGTTTGAAAGGTACAGGACTAAAACAAAAGCATGTTGTCTTCATAATAAGTTATTTGAGACCCCCAGTTATTCTGTGGGTTATCTTTTGTAAGAGGTGACTTGATTGATTTTTTTTATTTTATTTTTTATATTTTTTAATTTTTTAATTTTTTTATTTTTAATTTTTTTTTTTTTTTTTTTTTTTTACCATCTGTGATCTCAGTTTTACAGCCTGAAAGCGGTTCGATTTGTATCCTCTTTAGAGTAAGTGTCTGCCGCTTGGAAGCATTTCAGAATTGCGAGTTTCACTGAATTATTCCTTTGGCATTTTTAAATGCCTTACGATATTTTTAGGCCTGGGATATAGATGTTCCCCCTGAAAGGGCAGAAACATGCCTGGGAAAAGCACCAAGTGGCTTTGAGACATCGGGAGGGAGCAGACTGCCTTTCACCTCTTGGAAAGGCTGTTGGGAGGCCGGGCTAGGAGAAGAAAAGGCCTTTAAGTTCTGCGGCACAGCAGGGCTTCCCTGCGTCGCTGGTGGAGAGGCTTTCCTAAAATACGGTCTCGTTCCCGTTAAGCTGTGCATTGGACGTGGATTTTGTCGATCTGCTAAGGTTCTCAGCAGTGGAGCTGGCTGACAAAGGCTTGTCCCTGGGGTGCCACACACAAAATCGCAGAGGAGGTAACGCCGTGCCCCCGCAGGCAGTCTCTGCAGAGCCGCCCCAGGCCACCGGCTGGAGAGGCTGCGCAAAGCGTCGCGGTTCCCCGCGGCGGTGGGGAAACCACCCACCTCTGTGTGATAAAGCTGAGAGAAATAGCTGCAGAGCGTGATTTCTGGATACTTCTGCAAGAAGTTGTAGATTTTACTTACGCAGCAGTGCTAAGCCTCGTTACAGGGAGAGTAATTTGAATAGAGGATGATGCATCCGATGTTTCCATGGGCATCTGTCAGTGCATCCAGATACCCGCCCACCTCAAAGAGCATAGATTCTGGATGCTTGCCTTGGTCAGTACAGTTTGTAGCGTGGCCTTTTTGGACTACTCTGCCTGAGAAACTCCTCAGTTCGTAGAAGAGAAGGTGTTTGTTTTGGAGAGTTGCTGTTGATCTGTATGGGAAGCCAAAGACCCTGTCAGATTCCGCGTAAGGGACTCTCGCTTCTTCCCCAGTCCGTATGTGGTAGGGACACTTAGTGCAGGTGTGGTTCTGCCTCTGCCAGCTATAGGGCTTTACCACAGTCCCCTGATTTGTCAGATATTCTTGGAAAATTGCTTTTTCTCCCGGATGCATGTTCTGCTGAAAAAGCTCCCCGTTTAAGTGCTATACAGCTGACAGTCCTGAACGAAACAGGGGAAGTAATATTTTAATTCAACCCTTCAATTTATTTCACACTTAAACTGCAAAAATAATAAGGGATAGTCTTCAAAAATGTAGCTATAGAAACTCGGTCGATGACACATAGAACCAAGTGCTCTTGCAGCCTGGGAGCATTTTTACTTTTCACAAACTAACCTTTTCACTAAAAACATGAGTAAAAATACTTTCTCTGGCTTCTACTCTCTTTCCCTAGACAGGACAAACTGCATAATAAAAACAGCCATGCTTTTCAGGAATTGATTAGCAGATGAACTAACAAGTAAACACCAACAAAAAAGCCAGGCATAATTACCATCTCAGCAGCTTCAGCTCAGGCGAATAGTAAATGTTTATCCGATTCCCTTTTTTTTTTGGCTTTTTAGGATTGGTTCGGAGTTTCCACTTCAGTGACATTGCAAGCTTGCTTTTCAGAATTAAATGCTGAAGAAGAAAGTTACTGTTGCCTCCCCGATTTTGGCAGTTCAGCTGTAGAAGGACCTTTCCCAAGCCCTGGTAACTTTGCCCCGGGTGTAACGGCGACGGCAGGCAGGCTCCTTTAGGTGTTTACAAGTGCCAGGTGCTAGGAGACGAGAATACAAACAGGATTTTCTTTTGTACAGCAAGCCACCTGTGGTAGTTAAACTCCTGTTCTTTGCCTGTCAGTGTTCGTTTCCTATCTTAAGCGATTAAGTTTCCTTTGTTTCTTTAGTGCTGTTTTGATACAAGGTTTTTATAGCCGAAAGATGGATGTTGTTCTAACAAATTAGTTACTGAATTTATTTCCAGGTGAGTGTTATTTCTGTGCGGAGCTGTCAGTTCTGCCAGCTGGGCAGAAAGCTCCTGTTGGACTTCTGCTCTCCTACGCAGGCAACAAGGTTGTCCCTTCTTTAAGAAGTTTGTGCGTGTCCCTCACTGCTGTAATTCAAGCAAGCAGCGGGCCATTTCCCAAGGAAGCTAAATCGTGCCTGCCTTGTGTGAGCAGGCTTCCGGGAGAGTGCAAACACAAGTTTTGTGGAGATGAACAACCTTTGACTCTAGCAGACAATTATTTTTTGGACTCAGCGTTTGACTCAAGCAGATAATTACTTTTCTTCACTGCTGGTCTAAGTGAGCCACTCATCACCCCCGGATCCAGTTTAATTCTGTTACTGCTTTTCTGACTACGCACAACTTTTCCATCTGTGTATTTTATCACAGCTTGCTTCTGCATTCCACATTGTTTTCCCCTCTGACTGTCACTATTTCATTTTCTCCTTAAATTACTGATTTGATTCATTTGCTTTGTTTTCCACTCCTGACTCTATGCCAACTTCCATGTATTTTCCCGTGTTGGAGCTCTTTCCTGATCCAGGCCATTGTGCTGTTCTCACTCAGATTACTTCTAACTATTGGCTTCCTGACATCAAAAATGCTCCATTTGCCATTTTTGATGTTTCTGTGCATTTTTGTTGTGCAGTTGTACTGCGTGCTGTGCATTGCAACATAATCGTGGCAGCGGCCTGTCTCAGAAAATGAAACATACGTTTGCTACCTGACATAAAAAAGAGCAGGCCTGAAGAAAGGAGTGTTTTTCTTTGTAGAGGGACGTTATGAGAATTATCACCATCTGGCTAGTTCTTACCGAAGACTATTTTAAAAAGCTGCAAATTTGGGGCAAGGTTCCGACTCCTTCGGTCGCTGCTGGTATTTCTGCGGAGCTGGAATGGCCGCGGGAGGGCAATGCTGCACACACCAGAGATGTATCCCACTTTCTGCTGCTTGACCCGAGGCAGCGGCTTGAAGTCTGTTTCAGGTGAGTTTAAAGGGATGCCACCAGAGACACTTAAAATTTTATATCTCCCTCTAAAACTTGCCTTGTTTGTTTGCTTCGGTGGTTTGACCCGATCAAAACCCAGCAAACATTCAGCCTTCTCAACGAATAGTGTCACATCCTTACAGGGTGGGAGTCAAATCCCTACCTACCCAGTCTGAAGGATTAATCGGAGCAGCGTTCCCACAACCCGAGTGCATTTCTGCGTGCGCTGCTCCAGCCTTGGGCTCCTTCACCAGCGCTGTCCCCGTGAGCCGCCCGGGGCTCCAGGTGACAAGGGCTCCTCGCGCTGCCTCTGCGGGCTCCAGCCTTCCCAACCCTCGGCCAGCTCTGAGGAGCAGAGAGGGCCGGGGAGCAGAATCCCAACGGATCTGTGAATAGAAACGGCAGAGACTCCTCAGCTGCCGTGTACGTCGGTTCTGTAACCGCTCATTTTGGGGGTGCAAAGAGGAAGGATGTTTACAAAAAGTGCAAGCTGAGCAAAATGGAAGAAAGCTGACCGCTCATCATCTTCTCTGAATGGACCCATTTCTGGTTTATGAGAAAGCAGAGAGTTGTTTTTCCTTCCTTTTTCTGCATGATCTTTTCTGCAGTAGAAAAAAAGATGCAAATGTGTTACACAAAATCTCTTAAACTGATGCATGCATGCACGTCCTAATGGATGCTTGTATAAGTAGACATGTGCATGGATTAAGCAGCTAATAGAGCCCTTGTCATTTGGCTCTCTTACAGAAAAAATTTGTTCCCGTGCACAATTTCATTCAGTAGTACTGAACAGCTCTGTAGCATTTGTCATCTTCAAAGTAGTTTATAAATCTGACCGAGTGGCTAAAATATAGACTGGTCTAAATGGCTCTCTTGCTAGTATTTCTGCTGCTTAGTGTCACTTTGATCCAGTGGAGGGGAACTTGTTAAAGGGGCTTCTGACTTTCAGGGTGCCTCCTTTGTCACAGTGATCCCAGTGCATCTGTAGAGGTAGTAAATACGGCAGACTTTAGCTGAATTTAATAGTTTATATAAGCTGGGAATTTGGAATCCAGATGGTTTCAGGCTGGGAAATAAAAATGAAGCTACTCAAAATGACTTCTCCCTTTTGGTAATTTTCAGTGTTTGTAATCCTGATTGGAGGGAAGGAAGAATTTTACCTGAACAGGTACCTAGTTTGGTTCAGTAGTTTGTTATGGTTCTCCTAGTGCTCGTTTCCAGTACCTCCTATTGGCAGTAACCAGTCATAAAGTGCTTTGAGATCTTCAAGGTACAGGGTGGACTGCAGTGTTGTGTATAGCTCATTCTGTTTCATTCTCTTTATCCTTCCAATGCAACACACTGATTAAAATAATTCATGCCCGGCTATAGAAGCGAGATATCCAACCTGTTCTGTTGATTTGTCAGGTTGTCCCATGTTTATGAGCAGAAAGCTTGCCCACATCTTCTCTAGTATTAATTTTTTTCAACACACAAGCCTTTGTGAGCTCATAGGCTGTTCCACATTCTCAGAAAAAATGCTGACATTTAATGTGCTGTATGAACCTAATGATAGGTCTTTTATAGTTGGAGTTGTTCGGAAAAATGCCATCTTCATCTATCAATTTCATCGCATGAAAACATCATCCTGATACAGAAGATCATGTCTAATGGATACGATTAGGAACTCAAAACACATGTTGACAGATCCGTGTCTCCCCCAGTTATATTTAAAATTTTAATTTTATCCCTGTCTTTCCCAACTAGGGGACAGAGATATGATTATAACTTGAAGAACTTGTTTTACTTATTCCTAAAATGCAGCTGTCTGTGGGGCAGAGGGCAGTAGCTGTTTAATAGTGCTCCACAACAAGGTATAAATGTTCACAGGAGGGACTGGGGAGGAGTACTTTATCCAGTTCAAACCGCAGGGGAAACTTATGTGGTCGGTACATAATTACTCAGGTTGGGAGTTAGCCAGGATACAAGCCATATGTTCTGCTCCTAGGGAAAAAAAGCGTAATGATCAGGGTTATGATTTTTTTTTTAATCCAAATATTAGCTAAAACCTGATATCTCTTCAGGCTAAAAAGCACACAGAAATTCTGATCCATCCCAGTGTGGCCACTTTGGACCTGATACTGGTTTTACTGATTTAAACCTGGGATACTGTGATTTATGATGGTGTCTTCATTAGGCAAAAGCTGTTTTTCTGACATGTGATTATATGGAAGCATGATGATTTTTTTATTCCCCGAACTAAAACATGATCTACATCCATAGTCTAGTACAAGTGTAGTTCTGTTTATGTGAGGGGATCCGGTGCTTCCCTGCAAAGCACTGCACTCAGTACAAGAATGGTTCCTTTTTTTTTGCTGCTGAAATGTGAGTGTTGAAATTCTGTTGCATTTCTTAGTACAGCTTGGTTCAAAATAATCTCTGTTGGAAAGCATTTTACACATGACTTCATTCAGTAAGAAGTTTATCTGAGTTCAAAGTACAGAGGCGTCGCACGGTCCTTTAAACTTGACGTTCTTGTGCAGTCCTAAGATTTTAGAAATAAGAGGCAAAGGAAGCAAAGGAAGAAGCAGAATACTGTCCACAACTGCTCATAAACCCATCCACGTGGACATTTTAAACCTGTTGTGGCGTAACTTGCCTCCTCTCTCAACAATCTCAAGTTCATTTAACACGTGAGTTTGGGATATCTAGTCCTGCAGGAACGCTGGCTCACAGCTCCAGAGCAGAGCCCTGGTATTTTGCATTTCTGCCACTGGGCCGTAAAGATTAGCGAGGATTTAGGTCCTGAGTTTGGAACGTTTTCTGCTCGAGCTCGTGTGAAAGTCAGATGTTTCAAAAACTTCCACCAAACTTTCCTTGCCTGTCTTGTCCAGCCTCAAAGTGATTTAAATTTTCACCTCGTTTCCAGAGATTTCTCCAGAGTTCCACTGCTTTTTTTTTTTTGTTTATTTCCCTTTCCCTATCTTTTCATCTAAAAATAAGTATTTTTCCCTTGTCTGTCTATTCAGAGTGGAATTTAAAACCACAAAGTTGTGTTAGTTTTAAATCTTCCATCCACTGATAAATTTATAATGCCTCTGATAACAAACGGTGCAATGAAGAGCAGTTTGCCTTCCACCTCCATTACCCTGGCATGTAGATCGGCTAATGGTGATCATGAAAACTAAATCCTTGCTGGGCACGCAGAGCATTCTGCTATACCCAAACTGTCTGTAATCTCAGAGGATTCGATATGAAACTGGTTTTGATGGGCAGCAGGTCTCCTGAAGTCTGCGAGGTACTACGGGGCCTTGGGCCTTATTTATCCCCGCCTCTTTGCCTGAAAGATACTGCTGGTTATTTTTTTTTTTGACACCAGTTATAAATTCACCCCTAATATCACCTCTGAATTGTTCCTCTCTCAGCTCTCTGTTAGCTGGGCAGGACAAGGTGCTGGCTGCAACATGTTTCAAACCGTGCAGGTCCTGCTGAGCACCAGCTGAGCAGGTAGCAGGCGAGCTATGCTGACAAATTTTCCTTAGTGGGGACATTTTCTTCCGTTTCTTCTCATTTTCCAGAAATTAGTAGGAACCCGGCATGTTGGTGACCTCTGTTCATTGCTCAGCTGGATTTGATGGGTTTAAGTGAGTGAATGAATTCAGGAATCACACAGGATGGGACAGGAAGGGGGCAGAAAGACAGAAGGATTGCATATGCTTTGTTTCTTTGG